GTTCAAGTGCATGCTTTTATTTTGTTAATTACCATTTTTACAAATATGTCTTTCTGTCCAACTATGCAAGGGAATTTAGTAAAGCCATTTTTCTAGGACTTTGGGGCTGGATTCTCAAGGGTCTGGAGTATGGTTCAACAACTTATACTGACCGCAGTTCCCCATGGTCTGCTAAGTACGTATTCTCCTGGGAAACGTCGCAGTAGCCTTGAAATGCAGATCCTTCTGGAGAACTCAGGACATGTGGTCTCCATCGTCTACAGGTCTCCCTTTCACTGAGGTCACAGAGAAGGTCTAAGAGAAGTTAGAGATTAGAATTTCTGACTACACTGCACCATAAAATCTGTTTAGCTCCATTGTTCCAGGAGGGTGCCCATCATTCAGGTGAATGCTGTGATGGATTTTATTTTTATTTTTATTTTACTGAGTCCAAAGTGCTTGGTACCACTCCCTAAGGTGCCCCCCTCCCTCCTTTGGCAAAATATATTTCCCTGCCCAATTGCAGCCTTGGCTACATGACTTGATTTGGCCAATGGAATGTGAGGAGAAGTGAACAATGTCATTTCAGAATGGGAGCTTTAAGAGCCAGCATAAGCTTTCCCAAGCTTCCTTTTTGCTCTGCCATGACTGTCCCAGGGAGGAGTCATGGTTCTTTGTGTGTGTTGAGCCTCAGCTCATCAGAAACTGACAGGTTCTCAGTATAGTTAGGGGACTCTGACGGAGGCCCTCTACTTATTGGACAGAAGTCAGCACTGGCTGCACCTGCTGAAAGTATCTCCAGATCTTCTGAGTCCGACTGTCTCTTTTCAGCAGAGAATTCTATAGTCTTCCTTCCTGAACCACTAACTCACTTATTCAAACCCCATCCTCTTTTTTTTTTCCCTTGTGTAGAGCGCCCCCTGCTCCCACCTCCCTCTTTTTATTTATGTTCTTTCCATAGTGTGGCAATTCTTCACCGAATCTCTGCCTAACAGAAAAAGGCGCTGAAAAAAAGTGACAGTAGGTATGGCCACCCTTAATACAGACTTTGAGCTGCCTAGGAAGCATGGCCCATAGAATTTGGACTTTTGAAAACCAGCAGGAA